TCCGCCGGGAGGAACCATGGGCCGGAGAGCACCGCGAGGGCCACCTTGAGAGGTCGTGGGCCTCTGATAAGGCGAGCCACCTTGAGGTGGCATGGAACGGGGGCCGTGGCTGGGGCCAGGTCCGCGCGGGGGCCCGACGTTGATGGGCGGGCCTCGAGGGCCGCCGTTCTGCGGGCGAGGCTTCACAGGGCGAGCCGACAGACAAGTTCGGGGCACAACACCTTGCGAGGATCTATCAAGTCGAATGCAGAGCGCCTGAGACATGTCAGTAATTGGGTTCAATATCACGGAGGTTGACAACGCACCCAGCCATCGTCATATTCGTGAAGAAGGCGAACAACTTCGCCGGCCCTCAGGCCCATTTCGTCTTCCAGGGTTGGCTTGAAATCCAGCTGCACGCGGTGAACAGTCGAGTTGGTAGGTCCACCAGCAGCGGCAATAGCGGCAGCACCGGTGGACCCTGTAGGGTTTGGCTGATCAGGGCTTTCGGAGTTCATGCTGAATTCAGTACCGGCAGGGCTGGGAGGAACGACAGACAGAGGCGCGGGTAGAGTGAGATCAAGATCCTTCGGGGTGCCCTTGCGCGTAGAAGCCTTGCGTGCGAGGCCCGCCCCGAGGGCTCCCGCAGCAACTCCGGCGCCGGCAGCTGCAGCCGCAGGCGCGTGAGCCGACCAAGCATCACCGGGAGGTACAGCGACAGGGCCAGGTGGGAGTGGCTTATCGGCGGCTGGTGTCAGAGGCTCCTCGGCAATGGGCGTTGGCACGCGCTCGGCCTGGTTGCCGAAGGGGTTGCTGGGGTTGGCGCTCTCGCTGGTGGCAGGTCGATCCCAGGCATTGAAGCCAGAGTGAGCCGAGTGGCTGGGCGTCAGCCCACCAGCAGTGGAGGCCATGGCCATGTTGGCGCCCTTGCTGGCGCGCTTGTCAAAGTTGAGATTTGGCAGAAACTGGGTGACGGGACGGAGACTGATACGCGGGGCACGCGGGTTGGAGCGTTCGCCGGCGACGACGGCAGTGGCTGTAGTAGGCGCAGCGAAGGGGTTGTGGAGCTTCTCGTCGTCATCGTTGAGCCTCTCGCGTTCAACCTGTCTCTTGCGGCGGTTGAAGAGGAAGAAGACGGCGAG